ATTATCCTCCCATCTACATCTAGGTCTCCCCAGCAGTCTCCTCCCCTCAGGCTTCCCGACCAATACCCGGTGCACACCTCTTGACCCATCCATAAGCGCTACATGCATATTGCACCAGCATTTCAAAAATAAAAGGAATTGTGATAACATTTGTGTAAAGGGAAATTATGTTAAAATAAGAAAGGTCATTACTCTTCTCCAGTTAAGCTTATATCAAAATATTTGCTATCTCATGCATTGTGAACTCTTTCTATTTCTTTTCATTTTATCTTATGCACACTCTTGTTTCAATTACAACAAGCATCTCATGACCACCAGCACACAACACTAAGCATTTGTCACTGATGGTAAATTAGTGCCAAGTGACATCATTCTCAGTAATCTAGGGGAAGCAAGGCATCTTCCAGTTATCCATACAAAGATAATACAATCATGTAGTATTCTAATGGTCTGAAGAGAAAGTTCAGTCTGTGGTCAAGTCATAATATGTAATTTTTTGTACTTTAATGTTTCCTATTGACAGTTTCAGTTTTCATTATTTTAAAATATGATGACAGTTCCTGGCTTTGTGCAGTGCAATATCTATAGTGTGATTTCTTTTGCAATAAGATTTGTATGTGTAAGAAATTAAAATTAAGGACAGTGAGATACGCAAATTATTAAATAACACATTTGGGTAACTAATTCTTTCAACATTTAAATATTGCTAATGCCAAAGCCTGCCATAGGATATGACATTGATTGACTTCCATCCACTTCTCATCTTCACAGCCTGCTTTCGTAAGATTGTCTCTGTCTTCCAATTTCCCATTTTTCATAAGGCTCCTTTGCCAAAATTCGGTATGTTCCCTGTTCTTTTTCCATCCTAGCAATATGTTCAGCCCTATATAACCATAGAATTTAGATGTTTACCATTTTGAATTGCTCTTATTTAAAGATACAATAACTGGAGACCAGTTTATTGGTTTGAAGTACAGGTAATTTTCAGTGTGTTTTTTTTGTGTACATTATATTTTACATGTAGGAACTCTTGATTTAAAAATGTCCTTTATGTAGGCTTAAAGTTTAGAGGTCCCATCTTAGTTCATTCTGTACTGAATATGCTGTTTAATGTTTTCCTTTAGTATGAGATAAAAGTGTTTGTATCCTGCAAAAATAAAAGTGGCCTTTCACCATATTGGACTAATGGTCGTGTTGCATGTTTTATGTAGAGTGGAAAGTGCTGTTAAGGTAAATATATGTATAATGAAAAGGAAGACCATTTATCTGAGCAAGGAAAGAAATGCTACCAGATACTCTATGCAGATATGACCTTTTTTAAGTAAGGGCCTAATATATTTACTTCTTGCAGAGTTCACCTGCTCCTTTGTGTCCAAGTGGTCGCTCAACAGACATTGATGCCATCCTTGATGTCATCTCAAAAGCTGAGCATTTCATCTACATAGCTGTGATGGATTACTTTCCTTTGCAGATTTATACTCCTAAGCCAAGGTAATATTTATTAAGAGTATATTTATGAATCAATAAGAGTAACTTTCAGTTTATTTGTCTTATTCTGTAAACATTATTTTCTCATGGGTTGTGTTTGGAAAAGTATCACAAGCCATAAGAGAATCAAAAAATTTTCATATACTATCAGAGAGTATAAGATTTTAGTGCACACAGTTCATTCACAAGCTGGTCAGTTTCATTTTGTGATCCACACCAGCCTAGCCTTGGATTAGAGCAGTGGTTCTCAAATTGTGGTTTCTAAACCTTTTGGGATTATGCTAAGTGTTTCATGATGTTTATGTAATGGTGGGTTTTGACTTACTCATTACCCTGTTGATGGAGGCAGCAAGCACCTCTGAAATATTAGTAAACTTCTACCAGACTATATGGTGCAATATCCCAGATGAGTCATCTTCATGCTTGCCAATGTGAACCTGAAATCTCCAAGAGTGGCATAATTGCATGTCATTTTATGACATTGACTGGCGATATTTCAGTGTTACAAAAATGTGAGTATGGTTAACATGAAGACTCATAAAAATTAGCAATAGGCAAACAAGGCATTTGGTAGGTTCTAGTCCAGGGTGCTTTCTTCCTAAACAAGGTTCATGAATGCCTGTAAAATGTATGGGTATCATCTTGCTTTGTATAAATATGGTACATGGCTTCCAGTAAATTTCAAATAAATGTACTGTGTTTATCTTTGAGTATTTTATGACTTTTCACATACAAATGTGTCCACAAATTACAGGTACTGGCCGAAAATAGATGACGCACTGCGGGCAGCTGCTGTTGACCGCCATGTTCAAGTTCATCTTTTGATTAGTAATTGGAATCATACACGCAAGGCAACTCACTACTTCCTTCGATCTCTTGTTGATATTAGTGGATCATACCGTGGAGTTGTTGTAGAAGTGGTAAATACGGATTATGTTATGGTATGGCTGTATGAAATAACTGGAGGTTAGAATGGTTCATATCTGATCCAGACAAAACAGAGTGGATACAAGAAACAACTCTCAGATTAGCTGTGTTGCTGTTTTAAATAGATTGCAATACTTCTACAATACCCGTATGAAAATTTAATAATTTCACTTTATCATGAAAACCACTGTCTTTAACCAATGATGAACATTTATGTTAGGTGTAAATTCTTTATCTAAGAGATAGGAGAGTGTTCTCAGTCCTTGTGCTGCATGCATAGGCTTCCTATCACAATATATAGTATTAATATAATATCAGTGCAAGTAAACTGATTTTTTATAAAACACAAAAGGCTTTAAAAATATTTTAAGATTGTTATAATCTTAGTTTAATTTTCTGTCTGTCCTCATGGTGTACATGTGTAGAGGTATTCTTTTTATTGCAATTTGATACCTGGTTTGCTACTGTCATGCATTAAATTAAATTATGATGAAATATACTAATCAAATATGAATCATAAATCTTTTCAGATTTCCAATATGATGGTTTTCAATCAGCTTGCTTCAGTTGAGATTATTTAATGCTTTCATTTATTGGGCTTTGTTTTATATATGGAAGCAGAAACCTGCATAGATACAGTGTATTCAGATTCAAATTAATAAATTGATTTATTTCTTGTTTATAAAATAGATGTGTTGCATTTTGAATGAAAACCAAGTGTTATAATCAGGTGTTATCTGAAGACACTTGTAAATCTTATTATATATACTTTAATTTACTTACAGGTTGTACTGCACTGTATGCACCTCTTCAGGTTCATCTCTCAGAAAATGTTATTGTAAATTAATTCCGTTTGCACTACAGTGTGTTAGTTTTGATAAATAAGAGTTTCCTGAATATGAGTCTGTTACTTAAAACACTTTGAAAAAGTACATATATTGGCACATGTTGCAATATTGTGAGAAAATCTTTAAGTTTATAAAATACTATGTAACATCAATGTTCTGTACTTTAACCTTGTATCTACATGATATAGTATAGTGAATGCTGTATAAAATTCTTATCTCAGGCAGTATCAATTTTGAGAACCTAGTTGAAATGTCAGATTAATTTATTTAATATAGTATGTGATGCATAATGTAACTGTAATGTCTTGGGTTCTGTTCACAGAAATGGTTCAAAGTGCCTAGTACACCAGAGCAGGCAAAAATCCCATTTGCTCGTGTTAACCACAACAAATATATGGTCACTGACAATGCAGCATACATCGGTAATGAAATGAAAGAAATTTACAAATACATTGAATCTAAGTGACATTTATTAATACTCTGTGCCTTACATTCAGCATGTCATATACAGACTTTCACTATTTCTCTTGGGTTCAGTTCTGCCAAACTTTCTCAATGATGATGATGAATAAGACAAAAGTCACTCAAAAAATATTTGGCCAACATCCCGGGTGAACACGGCATTAGAGAACTTCAGAAAACTGCCATTCTAGGAACATCATACATCATTCGAAAGGTCCTGATGTAAAATATATAATAATGTCTCACACAAAATCTGTATAATGCATGTAACACACATTAAAAGAACAAAATGTATTTCAGAAATAGGTGCTGCACTATGTAGGTTTTCATGGTGGTTAATCTGAAGATGGCTGTCTTCTGGGTTGTTGCGCCACGTAGTGTGGTAGAAAACAGCCATCTTCAGCTGCTGCACTATCTACCTCAGGGACAAGGTTTGTCTCAGGTACATAGAAGTAAATGCCCTGTAAAATGGTGAATAAATGGAATAATAATAATAATAGCAACAACAGCAGCAGCAACACACACAAATACGCATAAGAAATTTATGGAATTCATTGCTGTATATATATTTGACCCTTTATTGGGCTATTTTATGCCAGGCTCCCAAAGATTTCATATAATTTTCAGTAATTGACATCAAACCCAAGTCTCTTGTTAAATCTTTCTAGTTCCACAGTAGTCTGTAGAAGTGAAAGTTCATCATATTAAGCATAACTTTCTAAAAGCACAAAAATTTGCGCTTGTAACCTGAACTGTGTCCAATTTTTCACAAATGTTTTTAGTCAGACCTTAATCAATAAGGCTTCCAAAGTGGTCTTGTGACCATATCTTGATGATTTTTTATTAAAGGAACTTCCAACTGGTCAGGAGACTATTTTACTGATACAGCAGGTGTGGGCATTGTGGTGCGTGCTTCTCAATCCAAGAATGACACTTCTTCAAACCCTCTTCGTGATCATCTACAACAGGTATTTGAAAGGGACTGGAATTCTAGTTATGCATCCCCCTTGGTAGAGTAGTTAATTTATTATCAAGTCACATGTTGCCTTAAGGCATTTTAAACAAACTGTGATTGACGTTTCAACTGGTAAACCATATAGGGTACTATAAATACACAGACTGATATGAGACCTGCCTGAAATGAAGAAGGCATGTACTTGAGTTATTCCATCAGCATACTTATCCAGTATATATCAACCCCTAACTGTCTACTGAGATTATGTGTTATGTTACAGTATTCAAACATTCAATAGTCTTGTGAGTAGAACACCAACCTTCCATTTTATAACCAGTGGTTTAAGTACCTGTGAGCATATTTCCTTAAGCTCTCTTGTTTATCCTCATCTCCATCCAGTATTTTTTTTCCATTTTTTAAGTACTTATGATATAGGCAGAACTTGATTTTGATGAAAGAAGCAAATTTAAAAATGATAGTTTTACTGTTATTTTATGAAAAGCATAAAAATTGGATGCATAAATTGTGCCAGTGTGAAAGTAAAATTCCTGGGACCTGACAACATGACCCTAGAATATTTTTTCATACAGAAGTATGAGTACTGGAGGAAAAAGATTAAAGTTAATTGAAAGAGTCTTTCATTTAGTTTGTTGTAGTTTGAAGATTTTCATTTTAAGCATAAGCAATGTGAGATATAAACAAGGGATTTTGTTTCTACAATTGAGTTGTTTGGTGTTTCTGTTAAAAGGTGTAATCTGTGATTGTAGAGAATAATATTTTGATCTATAAGTATGCAAAAGAAAACTGAACAGTGAATAATTTGTCCCCTTTTATGAGATTTTTATTATAGGATTCCTGTATGAATCCTAACCTGGAGTATAACATTATTAAGCTTTAATGAACCTTAGCATATGTTGGAAAATATTATTTCATAGCATATATCAGCAAATAGTGTTTGATGTTGCTGTCTTAAGTTTCTTTATTGTTTGTGAGACAGGGAGGTATCTGTCACAGTTAAGTGAACTTGGCATAAAATTATATCTGGAACTTCAGTTTATGGCATACATAAGTGAAAAATAAAAGTATGTTTATTTTGTGCTTATACTGAAGTTATCTCAATATGGAATAATATAAAATCATGCATACAAACAAAACTGTTTACACTTGAAAGAACACTAATGCCAAACGCGTTTTGACCTCACGAGGTCATTATCAGTGGCAAAATAAATTAATTCATATAATACAATTCAAAAGACTGGTTTTCTACAGAGCATAGAAGGTATGTACTTTACAAAACCATACTTATGTAACACCTCACTGGATGTTAATTGCAGAGGAGTTGGTGTATGAAATTGAGTACTTGGCTTCTATGTCCACTGGCCTGATTGCCGTTGTTGGTCAATGGTGAATTGTCGTCATGTCGTCTGTGCCTGTGAACTTCAGTGATGTATGGGCATTACTGTCAGTTTTAAAAATGTGCAGGTTATATACTAACTCTGATAACCAGGGTGGGCAACTATTGCATGTGAAATTTATTTTTTCCGTTTCAGTTTTGTTTGTATGCATGATTTTATATTCCAGTACACTGCACAGTATGCAAAGTTTTAATATGGAATAATAGTTTGGGTTTTATTTTTTGTGATACAATAGTGAAGCAAAACTACTTTTTATTTTGTATTTATCTTCTCATCTGTTCTTTCTAATATACTCATCTAACTACTATGTATGTAATTTAAGAAATTCCTCAGCTATAAAGTGCCTATAACCATATATCAATATATTCCTGTGTTTAGCTGAAATAAAGCTAAACCTCATTACTCTGGACATGAAAGTGGTGTCTAAATGGCTCTTATTACTGGTTAATTTTGTTCATAAAATTGTGTGCCAAACAAAAACAGTGTAATTACTTTTGATGAAATTGTTCTAGTTTATGCATATTTTGCCTGTTTGCAAACACCAATGTTTTACAAGAATTTTATAAAATTTATTTGTGTGTGTGTGTGTGTATATATATAAACTTCAGTTTTACATCTGAAATAAAGACAGAATTGTGTTTTTCAGAAGTTTACAAGCACTTCACACCCTATATTTTGTATTTGTCTATTGCCATGCATAAAAGAATCATGACCCTTGACAGTGTCATGTTATTTGCATGTAACACGTATGCACATGCCAAGACATTTTCAAATTTATTAATTGTATATTTCCAATGCTATTATAATCTTAATGAGGAATTAAAAATCGTGTGTTTAATCGGTGCATTTATTGGAAAAATTGCCATAAAGTCACACAGAATTTAACTGTTTTAAGTTCAGCAAAAACATTTGTGATCGAGTTTTTAGATTATTTTTAAATTGAAAACAACTCACAGGAATTTTATATTCCAAATAATTTTTCAGAAGGCATAGCTCAGTTGGTATAGTGATTGGTTGTGGGTTGGACAACAAGGGTTCAATTCCTGACAAGCAGGGACTTTTCATTGTCACCAAGTCCAGACTGGCTCTGAGAGACACCCAGCCTTGTGTCCAGTAGGTACTAGGGGCTGTTTACTCAAGAGTGAAGTGACCAGAAAATATGAATTTTCACTTACAGTGCTGAGGTTAAGAATGTATGAAGCTATACTTGTACTTCCCCTTACATCTTCATGGAGCAGTACTTCATTAAGTGCTTTTTCTCAGTGTATATAAATGTTTACCAGTTATCATGAAACTGAACATTCTCACTCACTTAAGTACTATGCATAATGTGTGTTTAATACATTAAATTCTGTTAATATTTACTTTAAATGGAATGTTGCATTTAAACTTCTAGTAAGCTTGTAAATGAGTGAGAGTGACTATACTGTGAGATAATACAAATATTTATGTAAATTGGCAGAATAAACAAGTGCATGATCTCATGTGTTGT